CTGGGGCTTCACTATATTCATATGAAGGAAAACAGATTTTAATGTAATTTTAAAGTAATCCTGTAAGATTTTACTCTGAAAATACTAAAAGTTTATCTCAATTCTAACTTTGGGTATTTATTATTAATAATTATTATTTGTATGGAGCATAGGAACCCCAGTCATGGCCCAGGACCCCATTGTGCTAGGTGTAGTACAATCACAGAAGAAAAATACAGTTCCTGTCCCAAAAGAGTAAGTATAAAAAAATATACAACAAATGGATCCAGATAAGGTGACTGGGCAGTACAAGGAAACAATGGGACAATATTGGTCAGCATGATTGGTTGTGGTCTCAGCACACCAGCAGCTTAACCATTGTCAAGTTTTTTGTAGGATGTAAATTATTAAAATGCTATGATGCCACAGGAAGGAGTCTGGCAAGTCAAAAATCAATAACATTGCTGGAGAGGCAGAAGTGCTGACCAAAGCCCTGGCAGATTTCTGTTAAGGTAACAGTAACACTTTTAGTTAAGTCTTTTCATCCAACATGAAAATTTTCAGACTGACATTCAGTCCTATCGTATGCAGGAAAATTAAAATATTAAGTTCGCAAGAATAAGCAGGCCTTTTGTATTCAAGCAAATAAAATTACATCCCAATGGTAAGTTTTGTATTTGGTCAAAATTATACCAGAACCAAACAATGCTGGGCTCAAACTATCGATTTACATTGTCTTTTCCCCCTATGCTAAGTATCTAGGTTCCATAAAAACAATGCCCATAGAATAATTATACTATACAATTAAAACTGTGCTCATAGTAGACTGCATTTGGACAGTGCATCAACCTCACAAAATTTCAGGAACACATTGCAGACAATGCTTTTGTTTTTATGCTTCAGGAATTCAGTCTTAGGGTTTTTAAATAAGTCACATCTCTAAGAAAAGTACTTTCAGCTACTTCAGCAGGAAGACAGTTTTACTGGGTAACAAATGAAGCATCACCTAAATCTGGTGAATGCAGATTATGGAAGAGTCAACACTACTGAAACTTGCATTTCGTATTTGTGGTGTGCTATGTTTCCATAGTAACAAAGAGCTACAGGCTTTAATTACAGCAGCTCCTTTGAACAGGGGTCTCTTGCAAGGACACCTGCTGTATGTTTTCTTATAAAAAGATAAGACTCTAGAATAATTGGATCAACGGAATATCATTGTAACTTTACATTCTGTGATCCACTTGTCTAGTCTGATAGGATCCAAGTAGTGATCCTGTCAACTAAAGGAAAGATGCAAAGGAAGGAAAAGCAGGTACACTCGAAATCAGGGGTGGGCAAACTATGGCCGCGGGCTGCATCCAGCCCGTCAGACCTTTTAATCCGACCCTCAAGCTCCCGCCGGGGAGCAGGGTCAGGGGCTTGCACTCTGGCACTCCAGCCAGGGAGCGGGGTCGGGGGCTTGCCCCATTCCACGCGTGCCGTGGCTCCACGCGGCTCCTGGAAGCAGCGACACGTCCCCACTCCAGCTCCTACACGTCTGCAGGCACCGGCTCTGCAGCTCCCATTGGCCAGCGCCGCACCTCCACGTAAGAGCCCGAGGGGAGGAGGGGACATGCCACTGCCTCTGGGAGCTGCTTGAGGTAAGCGCCACCTGACCTCCTCCTGCGCCCCACCCCCTTGCCCCAGCCCGTACCCCCTTCCGTACCCTGAACCCCTCATTTCTGGCTCCACTCTGGAACATGTACCCCCAGCCCAGAGCCTGTACCCCCTCCCACACCCTAATAACCTGCCTCACAGCCTGGAGCCCCCTCCCATACTCCGAACCCTTCTGCTCCATCCCCAGCCACCTCCTGCACCCCAAACCCTTCATCCCTGGCCCCACCCCAGAGCCTGCACCTCCAGCCGGAGCCCTTACCCACTTCCCGCATCTCAACCGCCTTCCCCAGCCCGGAACCCCCTCCCACAACCTGAACTCCTCATTTCTGGCCCCACTCCAGAGCCAACAACCCCAGCTGGAGCCCTCACCCCCTCCCAGACCCCAACCCCAATTTCATGAACATTCATGGCCCACCATACAATTTCCATACCCAGATGTGGCCCTCAGGCCAAAAAGTTTGCCCACCCCTGCTCTACATGAAAGTAGCTTCGACAGTGCCAGAAAGGAACCCTATTAAACCGGGCAGCAACTACAAAAGACCAAATATTTAGCTGGAAGTATTTGTTCAAAGTGTGCAAAAAACATCAAGTGGCCACCTTCCACAACCCATTTAGAGGGAACCCTCATTTTTGGCTCAGGGGATTGCAATAGACCTTCTCTAGTCACACAAATCTTAATGGAAACAAGAGAGATGAGGACTGGTACCTCATAGGCCTCTTCAATGAAACCCCAAGTTCATTATAACAAATACAGAGGCTACATCAGATAAGTCTTCGACTCAAAGAAAAGGAGAGATCAAAGAAGAGAAATCTTTAATTCAAACATTATTTTTTTGTATATATATTAGACGTAAGAAATTTGGAAAATTTAGACTGAAAAAGAGACCCTCAAAAAGTTGGAGAAAAAGAGAAACCAAGATGTACAGTAGAATAAACAACCGTGTGAAAGCAGGAAACACCAAGTTATTTTTTTTTAAACACTTTATCTATTTGATGCAAAAACACCCAACCCCACCTAGTGACAATCACCAAAATTATGAGCTCTCTCTCCTCCCTTCAAGAACCTACTTCAACCACTCCTGACTGAGGCAGGGAGCAAGAGACTCAGACAAAATTGTGCTAACACATGCAGGACTTCTTAGAAATTTAAAACTAACCCATTGTGGAGCAGGGACACAATATAGGGATTGTGGTACAGGGGTAATATGAGAAGCAAATTTGACACACAAGAAACCTAATAGCCGCATTCTGGGCACACTGGAGAAAATATGTATAGAAACAAGAGGAAGGCCAACACACAGTACTTTATAAATAAAAATAGTCAGTGCGTTTGTATTTAAAGCATGAACAAATTTTTATGCCATTTATAGAAAACAAATGCTCTATCCAGGCTCTGTTATTGAAAACTCAAAACAAAATATTGTAGTTGGATAAAGTAAAAGGTCAGTCTAAAATATCAAAGTTTTCTAGAAAAGCAGGCCCAAGGTACCTTACACTAGTGCTTTGGACCAAATTAACAGCAGATTGATCTGAATTATATTAAAGACAATGACCACCTGTTGCTGTCAAATACTGAATTTCAGTAGATCAACTTAAAAAGCAAAGCAAAGCTGCATACCAGAATCAGACATAAAATACAAATATATTTTGGTGTCATCTGCATAACAGTGAAATATTATCTCAAAGCCTTTAAATAATGGCAGAATATTCTGAAAATACATAAAGAACTAGAGAGAAGTACAGAACCCCCAAGAGATGCTCCATATACCAGTAATCATAGTTGGACATATATTCAGGCTCCATAAGTGTTTAAAAATTCTTTACATTAAAAAAATCACATCAAAACAAGGACACAAGAGTTCAAACTAAGACCATAAAACATTCAAGGTGCAATGGGTCTCCATTTTTTCCATACCTGTACTGTGACCCCCAAGTTACAAAAAATTACGGGAGCTCACTCCCATTAACCAGGAAGAAAGGGAAATGGTTGTGAACCCTTGCTTATGACTCCCAGGTTCAAAACCCACATTATAGTGAAATAGTAGTCAGGATATCAAAAGCCAAGCTGGCTATTCTGTGGCCATAATAATCATATGCCATAATGCCAGAATAAATATGCAGAACTTTACAGACCTTGCCCATGGCTTGTATTATACTATGAAAATAAAACACAAACTTGCCATAAAGACAGACTATATACCACAGGAACCTACGGATGTGTCACCATTATACTTCAGGCAGATAAAACTAGTAGGTGAAATCTTTTTCTCTCTTCAACACTCTGCTGTGTTCTTCTATCAGTAAGAAGAGTAAGGTACATTACTTTTGAAATAAACTCAATTTCATCTAATAAGGGAAAAAAATTCATTCAGGATTATACATTCACCAAGTCTGAAACCAAGACTTGTTTGTTTTAAAAACAAAGCTTTTTTTTTGGTAAATGAGTGCAAAATTTAAATAACTTGATTGCTCTCTTAGTTGAAAAAACAATTTCCCCAAGCTTAAGTAATTCAGCTAAACATGGCTTTTCTCCAAAGTATAGAAAAGCACCAACACAACCTTTGATTAACATCACTGTAAGGGGTAGGATTTTATGTCTGAGAAAAAAAATTAGTATGCCTGCAGTCAAGAAATTAACCGCAAGGGGATAATTAGCCAGACTGCTTCTTTCTTACTGATTGACTGAATTGCGGAGGGAGGCAGAGAGTGAAAATTTTGCTTATCCATGCATTTATTTTCTACAAGACAATCTATCTAACGGCTTTTAACATCTGGGTTGCCCTTTCTGCTTGGAGAGATTAAGACAGCAGAAAGCCATCAATCAAGAAGCTAAACCTTCTATAAAGCCTACTCCCATGTATCCTGTTCCCAGATGACGGCTTCCACAGAAAAGCAGAACAACTTTAACTATATTAAACATAATGGGCTCCTGGCTACCCAGAATGTAACATATAAAAGACATGATTTGGTTAAATTATACAGATTTGTAAAAGTCAGAGGCAGGTGAGAGAAATAAAAAGTGAAATGTGGCTATATTCCCTTTTCATCTTGCTTGAGAGGTGTCTTCACTGGAGAGCAAGTCCCAATCACATCACTATCCTAAGGGTCTAAATGAAGACACCCCAAAGGAGATAACTATCTTGGAGCTGCCCTGGAGAGAGGGTCCAGGCCTCAGCAGCCATAAGAGGTGAACCCAAAACAGACAGAAAAATAAAGGGGGGGGGGGAGAAAGAATCAATTGCTTCCTGCAATCCCCCCCAGTGGAAGTAGATTCCAGAGTAAGAGTTTTTAGGGTGTCTGTGGGCAGAAACAGGAAACCTGACCCTTCAGACAAACTTACACCACCTTCCATGACAGACACCTACCTCCTCTTTGGCTTTCCCTTCTCTGCCAGTCAGTCACATTCTGGATGGCGGTGGGAGCTGAAATTATTCTGTGAGGCAGATTATGTTCAGTAACAAGCTTTTTGGCTCAGTAAAAGGATAAGAAAACTAGGTAAAATATATGATCAAATGAAAAAGCACACTTATTTAAAGTGGAGAATTTCTAAGGAGATCTAAACCAGACAGGTGGGAACTCTTGGTTCTGCCCACTCTTCTTAGTGTGAAGGATGGACTTTTGAGACAAAGCAAGGAGACAGATTTTTACAAATGGCTCAGCCCCTTGACTGAGAGCTATAGACTGCCTTTTCCCTGCCAATAGGCAGGGGCAATCAATATATTACAGGTTACCAAACATTCTCAGAGAAGTCCAGGAAACACTTCAGACCGCAAAGTGCCAGGCACTTTATGTTATGAGGGAGAAGTGTGAGGGGTTATAGAAAGGGAACAAAAGGCATCCTGGATAGAAGGGGACTTGAAGCTTCAGTCACTTGCATCAACCGGCTAAAGGCCATCACTAGAAAGCACTTAAACTGGCCTACACAGTCATAACAAAGGAATGCTTCTCCAGAGATCTGGAGACTATTTACCTATTCCCAGTGCATGGTAAATATTACCAGGATGGAGGCAGCTCCTAAAAATATTTACCTTCTTACATTATATTTTCATGGTAGACTTATCTATACTTAAATTAGCCTACGTCAAGTAAGAACTGCAAATTAGCATTTGAGTTGCACAGAATGACTGTATTAACTACAGAGTGATTCCATTTAGTCTGCAGCATAGTGTGATTGTATTAGAGCTAATGACTTGTGTTACACCCCCTGGTGAATCAGTCAACTCAAGTTAAAAACTACCAACACACTGAAGTTATGAGGCTTTAATGTGTGGATGGGATTTGAGTTAACAGTGCAGTAAAGACAAACCCTTAGATGGTGGCTGGTCACACCTGGGTTAGATCAACTGAAGTGCTCACACCCAAGTGCAGATCACCCGAGTTAACTCTGCAGTGAAGACATACCAAATGGGTGTTGCTGTAATATAACCAAAGTTCATATAGTAAAATAGTGCATGACCAGACAAGAGAGGAAAAATAACTTAGAAATCTGTATCAAGACATCCCCCGACAATAGCTTGACCCAGCACCTCTAAAGTCAATGCAAGGTTTGTCATTGGTAGCAGGACTGGCCCTACTTTAGGCCCCAAACCTGCACCAGATGGAAGTCTCCTGCACAGAGCCTCACTAAAGTCAACAGGGCTCTGCACAAGAGCTGGGGTCCACTCATGAGGAATTCACAATGCAGCCTCAGGTTTTCCTTGGTTTTTAGTTATTCTGAATGATTTTCTATTCACTTCACAGCACCACAAAAATTTCAGTATGTCACAGGTTTTAGCAGTCGGCATGCTGCAGAAACTATGGACCTTTCTGCAAAATTTAAATCCAGAATGCCATGGAAAACACTGGATGTCCTGGTTATGAGTAACTGGAAATTCTTATGCTGCCTAGTTTTAAGTCAAAATCTTTATTGCATGCAAAATAAATTCTAAGGACAAAAATACAACACTGAAAATAAACAGAGACATATGTGATACAAATCTATACAGTAATAACTAGAAACTTGTAAAAGAAAGCTCAGGTGGTTGGGACATGTACACTGTATGGAAGATGGGAGACATGTTAAGTAAGCTTTGAACTGGATACCTGAGAAAGAACAGAGAAAACGAGCAAGGCTAAGGAGGAACTAGCAGAAGACAGTGACAGAGAATACTGAATGCGGTGGCATCACCTGGGAAGAAGTACCACAATTAGCAAGCAACAGCAATCAGTGAAGGAACTGGACTGCCCAATGTGTCAGCATCACAGGAGGAACTAAGGTCTAAGACATATGTGATATAAATCTACCCAATCTACCCAGTAGTAACTTGCATTTAGTGAATATTATGAGACACCCATAAAACTTTCTTTTAATTAAAAATTGTGTTTAGAAAGATAAACAGCTCTTTACATTCTTTCTTTCACACACACACACACACACACACACACACCACTTTATCCAGGAGTTTAAGAATAGAATTCACACAGGAATTAAATCTCTGTGTGGGATATATCCAAAGGAGACAAAGAATATACAAATTAAGATAACACTGCATTTGTATCAGTCAAAAACTGGGCATAATACACTTTCTTACTCCAGTCTTTAATTCCACAGCCATGAAATGTGCTTACAGACTTGTAAGGAGTATTTGTCAGATAAAACGGTTTTTCTTAAATCCATTTCCATATCCATTCTATGTCTTAAAGCTTTTTACTTCCACACCCTTAAAATCCTATTCCAGTCCCTTTCCCAGTTACCATCTTGGCTGGTTGCAATTAAAATAAATAGTAATCCTTGGGTCATCAGGATCCACAGAATAGCAAGGTTCTCTCAATGGTATGCAGTGCGTTAAACAGTACATACACTGGAGTGGGAAGTTTGTCCAGTAGAGTACATCCCTTGTATCCTACAAGAGAGTGTTCTTGGGAACAAAGTATTTCTGTATTTCAGTAAGAGGTTACTGAAATACAGTAGAACCGTGTTTTTCAAACTTTTTTTCTGGTGACCCAGTTGTAGAAAATTGTTAATGCCCACGACACAACGGAGCTGGGAATGAGGGGTTTCGGGTGTGGGAGGGGCTCAGGGCTGGGGCAGAGGGTTGGGGTGAGGGCTGCGGGGTGGGGCTGGGAATGAGTGGTTCAGGGTGTGGGAGGGGGCTCTGGGCTGGGTCAGGGGGTCAGGACTTTGGGCTGGGGGTGCAGGCTCTGGGGTGGGGCCAGCGATGAGGGGTTTGGGGTCCAGGAGGGGGCTCTGGGTTTGGGGGGGGGGGCTCAGGGCTGGGGCAGGGGATTGGAGCGCGGGGTTGGGGTGTGGGCTTACCTTGGGCAGCTCCCAGGCAGTGGCGCAGCTAAGGCAGGCTTCCTGCCTATCTTGGCACCGCGACCGCGCTGTGCCCTGGAAACAGCCAGCGGCAGGTCCAGCTCCTAGGTGGAGGCGCGTAAGTGGCTCCACGCAGCTCTCTCCCACGGTTACCGGGCCCCCCGGCTCCCATTGGCTGGTTCCCAGCCAATGGGAGTGCGGAGCTGGTGCTCAGGGCAGGGGCAGCACGCAGAGCCCCGTGGCCCCCCGCCTAGTAGCCGGATCTGCTGCTGGCCGCTTCCGGGGCACAGCACAGTGTCAAAACAGGTAGGAACTAGCCTGCCTTAGCTGGGCAGCACCGCCGACAGGACTTTTAATAGCCCGGTCGGCGGTGCGGACCAAAGCCGCTGTGACCCAATGCCTTCCATTCTGCGACCCAGTACTGGGTTGTGACCTGCAGTTTGAAAACCACTGCAGTAGAGGGTTCAAGTGTAACTGTGAGCAAAGATGTACAGGGTTACCATAACACAGCAACTTAACAGAACAGATTCTGATACACATTCTAGGTTTACTCTTAAACTTGCATGGCAGTCTGGGGCCAGATGTTAAGCAAATTGTTTCCACTAGATCACATGGAATGAAAGCCCAATTTTCAAAACACTGGACACAGAAGGAAAGAATAATCAGTCCTACATGCCAGCAACATCTCTGCTCATTTTTCTTGGAAGTCTAGCCTTTTTTTTTTTTTTTTTTTAAAACGTAAAGAAACAATAGAACATGAGCATGAAAGTGAAAATTGCTACTTTGTAATTAAATAGTAGTCAGACTTCATTTCATACTTACAAAAATGCAAAGCATCTGGGAGATACAGATGTGCAGAAGCCGTAACAAGTTTTAGGAAAACCAAAGAAAAAAGTGAAAGGTAGAATTACAAAAATGAGTAACAGGTACTAATGCAGAACACTAAAATAATTTCAACTAATTACTGGTTCAGAAAAGTGGTGTTGTTGTAGCCATGTTGGTCTTGGGATATTAGAGAGTTCAGGTGGGTGAGGTAATATTTTTTATTGGACCAACTTCGGTTGGTGAGAGAGACAAGCTTTTGAGCTACATAGAGTTCTTCTCCAAACTTGAAGAAGGGCTCTGTGTAGCTCAAAAGCCACCAACAGAAGTTGGTCCAATAAAAAAAATATTACCTTACCCACCCTGGTTCATGCACGCAATAGATATGGACAAATACTTCATCCCACTACTAAATATGGAAAAAAATCAAACTGGGAAAAATCAAGGGGCTCTCATTTGGATTACAGCTGCAGAGTTAGCAAACGAGGGATGTATCATGCTATGATAACATTTACATTGAATGTCAGCCAAAACAGACAGAAGCCAAAATGTTAAAAAATGAATGCCTAAGGTTAGGAGCCTGAAACCATGTTTAAGCTCCTAAATAAATGGCTTGATTTTCAAAAGTGCTGAGGACCCTGCAGCTCCCATTTACTTCACTGGGAACTGCTGGCTCCTCAGCACTTGAAAAATCAGACCACTTATTTAAAAAGCGTAACTTCATGCATGCATATTTGAAATTCTTGGTCAATGTTCCAATGACAGAGGGAGAATGGATGAAAACAGTCAACAACATGGGGAAGCAGTCAGCCCTTTCCTCCTATGGTCTTCTAGGCATGCTTAAATTTGGCACTGCAGATTCTAACAAGGATGCTTTGGACTATACTCCCCCTATGCTATTTGCCCAGCTCCTAAGGGCTATGTCACAACTTCCAGACCTACTTTGGGTAATCGTGGTTATGGTCTTGAAGCATGGTACTACAGGATGCAACACTTCTGAAAGCAGTTCTTTAAGAAATGACACTAGCATTGGAAATAACCTGCCTATGTGCACATAAGATATACAGGGTTGGAAATTTAAACATTTCTTGACAGGGCAGGTTGGCATAAAGATAAAATTCTAACTCATCTCTTTCTAAAGTCTATAGAACTTTCTCCCCATCCCAAGCTAAATGTTCCAAAATCTTTTTGTAACAAATAAGATACCTACATAAAGTAATATTTTGCATGTCTATCAAGATCTCAGTGTGAATGCAGTGCAGATTAGAAATGGGAATGGAGCTTTTCACCGGTAGATTACTTATTCAAAAATCCAGATCTGGTAGTGAGTCAGGGTTGCCACCATCTCACAGAAACTCAGTACCTTGTGTGATATGAGTCTCACTCCAGTTCCCAAAGGACAAGGGGAGCCTTTCCTCACAATTCACCCACAAACAACAGCCTTGCTGGCAGTCTCATCAGAAAAGCCACATAGTAACTGATTATGGAAAATTAACTATTTTCAATTCTCACCCTTCTAGGTGGCCCCTTCCTGGTCAGATCTGAGGCATGTTGGCAGGCAGTATGAGGAAATCTGCACTGCTGCTGCCCAAACTGTTCCTGTTCTGTGGAGAGACAGAGAACTTCAGTCTCATGGGCTGTCAGTCATCAGCTTTATAATAATTAAATTTGCAGGCAGAACTTTGTTAACCCAGAGTTAAGGTTCAGCAGAAACAACACTAACCTTTTTGAAAATGTTCTTAAAGGATTGTCACACTTAAAAGTAAAAAACAAAACCCCCTGAATTTTAGTAGCTCTGGAAACCAAAAATTAACATTGCACTTTAAAATTAACAATCTAAGAACTAGAGACATAAAAACCATCATTGTCCATCAAGCATACACAATTTCATTTAATCAGTAACATAACTAAGCACACTTTGTGCTAGAATACCTTACTCTCCGTTGTAGTGTATTAGAAGACATTAAAAAAAAAAAAAGTGCGAGAACCAGCCATCTCTCTAGTGACTACTCAACTAAGGCAGTCGTGAAGAGAACTTATTCCACCTGTGGTTAGGAAAAAAATCCAGGGATCCTGAAAAGTACTTTAGTTGAATGATCTTGGGTCTTGTTTACAGACTAGAAATACTCTACAACAGAAGAATAGTGTACTGTACTAAAAAGCCACTTCTAGCCAAGCCACTTCCATTTCCGAGCTTCAAAACTGAAAACATTGGAAATACACAGACTTGTGGGCTGTCTACACAGACCAGTTTAAGTAAAGGGCGTAATTTTAAACCATTGCAAAATCCTATGTAGATACTTGTTTTGAAGAATTTCATCTCAGTTTAGCTTAAGTTAATTCCTTTCTGACTTAAGATAAAAGGAAATAAAGCATTAATTAAATATAATTGTCTATACACGATTTTGCATTAGTTTCACTAAAGCTTTTTTTTTAAAAAATGATCTCAGTTAAACAAGTGCAACTTTCTCATGTAGACCAATTAATAGAATCAGTATTTTTTCATTTTTAATTTGAGTATGACATGATCTGTGAGATTGTTACAGTTCGAGGCTTGATCTCATAGTTGTTCTGTGTTGAGACTCCTGGACTTCAAATGGGAGTTTTGTATGGAAAAGGAAACAGGATAGAGAACTAACATAATGGCTCAAATACATTTCACTTGGGCTATCTTTTGGAGACAATAAATGTGATTTCACTATAAAGTATTGTCCCACATTAATTATTAATCTGATTATTGTTGCATCACATTAAGTTTAATAAACAAATAATGCTAATTTTAAAACTCCCAGACACACTCTTTGCCATTTTATTTTTCTACAGTTTCTTCCATTCCAAAATGCTCTTTAATTTAGTGATAGTTAAAACAATGGAAAACCACCGAACAAGGACTAGACTGCATGCAAGCCTGGGCAGTTGCAGGGACATGTGGGCAAAGGGGTTTCCCACTGGTCTGATAAACGCAGGGGCAAGGGATTGATTGGATCACAGGTGTGTGTCTGTGTGTGTGAGACAGAAGCACCAGAAACACCTCAGAATGAGACAGAGAAGGAAGTAAGGAAGCCCCAGAGGAGCACTTGCAGCACGTCCCTGAGAAAAAGCTAAGAGAGCTTTGGAGAAGAGTGCGATCTGGACAAAAGCTTGGAACTGGGAGCAAAGAAACTGTATCCTGTTTGATTTCTATTTTGTCCAGGAAAACAGTACTTTATTTTATTTGTAAATAAAACAGGATTGCATCAAAGAAATATCTGACTCCATCATCAATTTCTCGGCTTAACAGAAACAACCCACAAAAATTTTGTGACAAAACTCCAAATTTTGGCTGTTTGCATCAAAAGGAGTAACAGTATTATCTTCTACAAGGACCTCCATTTGAAAATATCAAATATGACTGCTTCAAAATACCCATTCATTATCTCCTAGCTCATAATTTTTACTAGCAGGAAGTTCTGTAAGATGAACAGAATTAGAAAAAAAGAAAACTAAATAATAGAGGAATGCAGTTTTGTTTCAAAATGTCTTGATTTACTTTTCTTTTTAATTTAGTAGTGCAGTATTTTGAGTGACGTTTTTAGGAGGAGATTCTTCACATCAAATTTTTGTACTTATTTTGCAATGGACAGAAAGCAAATGAAATCAAAACCTTTCTTCATAAAGTAGCTCAAATTACTAAATTAAAGTTTAACAATATTTCTATGGTGACTACCGTGAAACCTCATGGATAACTGTACAACTATTACTGTATGTATCCTAGGAGACCAAAGCGATCTCATGTTTAAAGACTTAATTCCCTACCCAACTCCCAATACAAATCACATGGATTTATAAATAAAACAAGTAGCCTTGACAAAGGAGAAAGTTGATGTTTTATTTTGGTCCAGAATGTATGTTAACCTCCACTTATGGCTTATTATAAGCATATAGTTTCCTATTGCATATTACCTTCCTTCCCTCCCCATGTCCCCCACTTTTTCCTGACTACAAAGGTGCTAGAAATCTCTTTTTGGCTTCCTAAATATTTTTATATTTATATTTGTGTGTGTGTGTGTGTGTGTGTGTGTGTGTGTGTATATATACACACACACAATTTTTTTTTTTTAAGAAACTTGGATTTTTCAAATCAGAGTGGCTAGAATTCTCTGATCTTAAAAATATATCTTGTGAAAATTACCAAAAAGGTCTCGTGTTCTTATCATCTAAATTCAGAGTACTGACCAGACTGTCCAGCAAGATTAACCTGTAAAATACAACATGCAGAACCTAATAATTTAGGAAGGCATCTTCAAAAATACATATTTTTAAAAAATGAAATTAAAGGGCATAAAACAGCTAATTTGAGACAGAGTAGATTTGTGTAGATTTTACATCTTGTCTGAATATTTGAAACATGCAGCATTTGAAAATATTTCCTGTAATTCTTGTTTGTCATGCACATCACTGGTTCTAACATACAATTAGATAATCTAAGTCCAACCTCTGAAGCACAATTTCTTCAAAAATGCAGAACAGACCATAGGAAACACCCAGGTAGGATTTCTTACAAATCCTCTGCAGACAGAAAGGCAGACAGCAGAGAGAATGTATTGCAAAACCTGCAAACATAAAGCATGCCAGTACCCTTCCTTAATCTTTTTTAGTCACATATTTTTACCCTTTCATTTAAGAATTTTGACAGAAGTATAAACATACCTGCACAATATGAAGGAAAAGAAGAACATACATTGTTGTTCCCAATGGAGAAAGAGGATATCACATGACGACAGTGAACTTCAAGGGAAAAGGTTGTCAGCATGCTGGTATAAGTGAATACACCAGTGGGTAATTAAAATAGGACCAGCCCCCTCTGTAACTACTGGAGTGTAACATAGGCTTTGATTTATTTAAAGCGAGTAAACACATCTCACCTCATAATGCTGTATGATGCTATATCAGCCTCAATAGCTAGAGTTCAAATAAATACTAGAGTGGCACCTGCCAATGGTTAAAGGATCTGTATTGAATGTCTTTTTCAAAAAATAATAAATCAGATGCTAAAATTAGCTTCAAGCAGAAACTTGGCCTACAAGTTCTTATGAACATGTAATGAAATAGCATCATGATATGTAATGTGCAGCATTTTAAAGACACATCAAGAGCATGTATGTATCACAGATAGCAAGAACAGCACCATAATACCTCATGCATATTAGCTGTAAATCACTGACAGCATATTTCTGAGCCACTATACCGTAGTACATGCTGTCCTAGTGTGTTAACAATATTATGTAAAGCCTGGTGTGATGGAGTGCACAAACTCCACACTGGGCAGGAAAGGGTTAAAGGACACTACTGGGCCCAGGTAGCCCCTCCCCCCTGCAGAACATGCTCAGAGGTGAAAGTAAGCTGGTACGGTCCGGTACGGAGTACCAGCAAGAGCCAGTACACCGTGCCGGACCGCAACGGCTTCTGCGGCGGGGATTTAAAGGGCTCTGGGCTCCCCGCAGCGGCAGGAGCTCCGGGCTCTTTAAATCCCAGCCCCAGCCCGGCAGCCGGGCTCGGGCGGGGATTCAAAAGGCCCGGAACGGCTGCGGGGAGCCCCGAGCCCTTTAAATCCCCCCCCGCCCCCCGCAGCTCCAGCTGCTGGAGCTGCGGGGGGGATTTAAAGGGCCCGGAGCTCCGCGGCGGCCGGAGCCCCGGGCCCTTTAATTTGCCCCTGAGCCCCGGGGGCTCCCAGACACCTCTGCCGCTGGGAGCCCAAGGTTGATTTAAAGGCCCTGGGCTCCCAGCCACAGCCCCGGGGCCTTTAAATCTTGAGAGGCCCCACCTCTTCTGGTTGAGGCCACGCCTCTTCCGGATGAGGCCACGCCCCCCTCAAGACTCCGGCAGTACCGGTAAGTCCTGTAAGTTACTTTCATCCCTGAACATGCTGCAACTGGAGACAGGGTTGAAAATGGAGCAACCCAGCACAGAAAGGGGAGTCTGAGGAGGTGTGCAGACCTAGCGTGAAGGCTCCTGACATAGGGGCTGGAGAAGCCTTCCTGAAGGGACAGGACTGTATGCTGAGCCCAGTTAGGGCTCATGGTTTGGTTTCTTTTTCGTTTTCTTTTTTTCCCTTATCTGAGACCAGAAGCTGAAGAAGGAAAGCAGCAGTAGGAAGTGACTAGGGAGGGTAGCTCAGAGGGCCCCTTTGGAGGCCAAACACTGCTGACCCTCTTATGGCACTGGGCCACAGTCCATTGGAGGGGGCAGGCCTGGGCTCCCTTACTACAGCTCCGAAGGCTGAATGCATTAACCACTAGGCCATCCAGCCCATCAAGGACCCAATTATACCTGGCCTGACAAAATAATGGTCTAAGAACATTTAATGTCTGTTTCCCTTCCCTGCACACTTTTTTATTAAAAACACCCCTACTATTAAAACAGGAGATTAAACACAAAAGTGATATTAAAATTTTCCCACAACTGTGCGTAGGTGATGAAAATATCTCAGGGCAGTTTGATCTTATGTATCATTTGTGTTACAACATCTAGTCACAATGGAAGAATTCAGCATGGAAAGTCAGCCTTTCACTCGAAAATTACTCTGCTTTTGTTGCTTAAAAAGGGACTCAGTCTCTCTCACAGA